CCCCCACCCCGGCCCCCCCCCCTGCCAGTGCCTGCTCCGGCTTCCCCAGCCCAGAGGGCATCCCCTGGAGGAGGGGGCCCTGGGCCAGGCAGGGCAGGACATAGGGGGCCAGCAGAGCTTGGATCTGGGACCCATAGAAGCCCTTTCCCTTTACAGAATTCTCCCAACTCTGAAGGGAAAGAAAATCAAACCAGAGTCTTCCTGGGGATGCAGGCTGAGCTTCGAGAGCCAGGGAGTTTGCACACGGCGGCACCCTCACCACCATGTTCCCAGACCCTCACTGTTAAGGCAAGCCATGGACGGAGGACAGGTGAGATAGGAGGCTGCAAGTGAGGGACCCCAGGGACAACACAGCAGCGGGCAGGGCGGCTGGGGCAGGGCCGGCTCTGCCCCTCCCGGCTGGGCTCCAGCATCCCAGCTGGGCTCCTCCACTAGCCCATGGACAATCCCAGCCCCGACAGAGGCTCCCTGCACAGCCCTGCTCAGGCCGAGAGCAAGACGCAGACACCTGGTCCCCGACGCCGGCCCAGGCTCCTGGCCGTGAGCTGAGACCCACACAGGAGACGTGCAGACATGGAGCGCAGGCGCGACAGTGCCGTGCATCCCCATGGGCCCCAGGTCACAGCCCAACCTGATTTCAAACAAGAAGACTGAAACATGGGCGAGGGGCCGGGCTGCCCAAGGCGCAGTGCGCACAGCCCACCCGTGTGCTGTGTGTCTCCAGAGACTCAGACAGGGCCCCGCAGCGGGGCCCACCCACTGAGGCTGATGGGATGCCCTTCTAGCCTGACCGGGGCCTCCATCCACCCGACAGGATAGCTGACGTGGGACTTCTCATTCTGGGCAAAAGCAGTGGGAGCCCAGCCCGGCAGCCCCCGCGGCTCTGTCTCTAGGAAGACGCTCGGGAGCTCCAGGGAGCTGGTGTGCAGGGGGGATGGGGAGAGGAAGGGCTGAGACCCATGAGAGTCAGGAATGCTCAGACCACACCCAGCCAGGAACTGGTCCAAGTTCAGCTGGCTGCCACTTGAAGGCCAGTACTCGAGAGGCAAGCGTCAGTAGAAAGGAGAGCCAGCGTCACTCAGGAACGGTGACAGGGAAGATGATGGACAATGTTCAAAGCCATTTCCAATCAAGACCAGGACGGGATTCTGAGGGGGAGAGGAGACACGGACACCTTCAGGCAGCACTGGGGTGCTCCAGCAGGGGAGGCCCAAGAACGGCACAGGAGGCTCCGGGGTGGCAGGAACGGCCCGCAGGGGGCCCTGGGGTGGCAGGAACGGCCCGCAGGTCTGGGACAGAGATGCCGAGAGCAGGGCAGCCTTGCTCCCAGGCTCCAAGGACAGGAGGCACAGCCTGCAGACCGACACTGGCAGCTGATCTCAAGCTTCCAGAACACCTGGTCGCTGGAGGCCGGCAAACTCTTAGAAATGGAACCTTGCCCACCAGCAGCAGTTCTGAGAATGAGGGCTCGAGTCAGACCAAGCTTCCCACCATCCCGGAGTGAGGAGGGTCCCCGGTTTAGGTGAGAAGATCTGGATTTTACAGATTACCTAGGTGATCATGGGTCCGGGGGGCCTGGGGACAGTGCCGACATGCAAGAAGGCCTGGTGACACGACCCAAGCTCTGCACAGGCCCCACCCTGCCTGACAAGTTGGACAAAAGCTGATAAGGACTCGTCATAGTTTCGGATGACAGAACTGGGCCTGGCCAAAGTGACAAACGACGAAGAATAAGGGCAAACGCAGTTTGCATTTAACCGGCCAGGGTCGCTTGGCATGAACGCCATGACAGAGGCGTTGGAGCAGCCCATGGAGGGGCGTGGGCGTCTGCGGCTGGAGCTCTGCGGGACTCCTGTGTGCTAGTCTGCTCAAGGCCGTGTGGCTGCCAGCGGCAGTGTCCTGGGACAGGCTACGACTGCACCAGGGACCACTGCCACCCCTGCCCAGGCTCCTGGAGCCTCCCAGGCTGCATGCCAGAGAGCCGGCCCTCCTGAGGGCCACCTGCCCCAGGGCTCCCCGAGGGATGGGCCTGGCCTGAAACCGGGCCCTTGCTCAGCTCTGCCCTTCCCTACCTGGCTCTTCCTGCTCCCTCCTCCCTACACCTTCATGACTCAAGTCTTCCCTCCGCCGCTTCTGGGGAACCCATCCCAAGGCTCGCAGTGGGGTGGGGCGGTACGTCAACACAACCCTGGACACCATGATTCCCAGAGGCACGTCCCCAGTAGGTGCAAGGCTGAGGCTAGAGGCCCTGGAAAGAGGCCAGGGATGAGGACAAGGAGACAGGTACGGGCCAGGCTAGCCGCCACGGCTGGGGAAGGGCCAGGGAAGCAGGGCCCGACACCAGTGCCCAGCGCTGACTCGACCGCACTTTACATGGTTATCCCATCTGACCCGTCTGTGATGGAGGCGCCCTTCCGGTCCCCACGTTACAGATCAAGTTTCGCAACAGCAAGGGGAGAACCAGCTCAAGGTCCAACGACTGCAGGTGTGGGCCAGGTGAAACTCCAGGGTTAGACCCTACATGCATGGCCTCCTTCCCTACCTGCATAGGGAAGGCCCTCTAAAGCCAGAACAATGCAAGTAGGGGACAGAGACCCCACCCAGTGGCAGGGTCACATCACAGTGGAGCAGGACTGTCTGATTTTCCACCATGCCACTCGAGCCTCAGGCGGGCAGCTCCCCTCCAGCTGGAAAAGCCTTTCCCCATGTGGGTCCCTGGTGTCTAGCGAGGGTGCTGGCAGTGAGGCCAGACCAGATGCCCAGGATCCTGTCCTAGCCACGGGATAGGCAGGACGGAGTGGGTCCCAGGAGACAGGCGTTGTTTCAA